GCGGATCCGTGGCACCATATTTTTGACACAAGTTTTGACACAATTTTTGGGCCATTAGATTACTCCACTTTTAATGGTTGAGATTAAATCTGACATGGGAAATAGTTTTAATGTTTTAAATAAACAATCATTAATTTTATTTTCTCTCTCATAAAAATAAAATAAAATTATTTTCTCTCTCCTCCCTTTTTTCTTGGAAACGTAATCTCTCTTCTTGGTAATTTAATCTCTCTCTCTCACCAACAGGAGTTGGTCCAAGTGGAAGGGGCTTGGATCCTTTAAACAAGAGGTCCTGGGTTCGATCCCAGGCGCTTGCGAATAGAGCAGACTTTGTTGGGAGAGGTCCCCGCTTTGCGCCCGACAGTACCTCGAGGGTTAGTCCCCGCAATCGCGCGGGGGATACCTTGGTTTTCACCACAAAAAAAAAATCTCTCTCTCTCTCTCTCTCTCTCTCTCTCTCTCTCTCTCCATATAGGTACAATTCATCTAGCATATTAGTTCCTAGAAAGTTTTGAGAACATGATAATTAAGCATAACCGCTCGCCTGATCAATCCTGGACAATGGGAGGTTGTGCTTGGTAGACAGTTGCTTAAGAGATTTTGGTATCGACTGTTGGAGGTTTTCAATTATATGTTGTAATTGTTTGAGGCTATTCTAGTGAATTACTGTAGCATATTGAAATTGTCTGATATGAGATGCTCTGCTCCAATTATTGTTTGGCTGGGAAAAACATATTCTTGAAAGATTTGGAAGAAGCGCAGAGAGTAGCTCGGACTATCCCTCCCAATGTTATAAAATCCATGCATAACTATATATATATATATAGTGTTCATAAGACTAAGGGCTATATTTGACATTTTATACTGTTCTTAATTGTCAAGATAATTAGATAGAAAAAAAAAACACAGAAAAAAAAGTTTATCAATGAGAGAGAAAGATCGAAGGCCAAAAGCATTACTTTTTGGTTGGGGCCAGAGGCGGCCCACAGCATGTGCGGGCTGTGCGACCGCACAGGGCCCCCAAAATTTAGGGGCCTCCAAATGTTTTAAAAAGCCCAGCAATATATTATTATTTTTTTTATTCCAAAACTATTACTATCATTTCCTGGACATATTGTTTCTTCTTCACAGGGCCCCCAAAATTTAGGGGCCTCCAAATGTTTTAAAAAGCCCAGCAACCCAACAATATATTATTATTATTTTTTATTTCCTAACGTTTTAACAGACTTTTTGTTTTGTGAAAATCAGGTGAAACCGTGAAAATCATATGAAAGCCGCAAAAATCAGGTTCTATTGTCCTCTTTTTTTTTGTTATGATGTGTGTTATTTTGCTATATTAGAAAAATGTTTAAAAGAAAACACTCATCTGGATATAGTAAGCGCCAACAAAAGAGAAGAGTTGAAGAATTAACTCAATCTCAGAGAGGTGCTCTTGATAAATTCATTATTAAAGAACCACAAGGTTTAGTTGAAAATCTTGAAAATGTAGGTCATGATGAACATGCTAATGAAAATGTGGAAAACTTAGGTCATGCTCATGTTGAAAATGATAATGTAATCAATGAGGAGGAACAACCAAGTCAATCTATTCCTTTAGATATTTATGATCCTAGGACTTGGGATGGTCTAGATTCAAAATCAAGAGATGAATTATTGGCAAATGGTCCAAGAAGAGATCTATCAATTGAGAAGGGACCTAGTGATAAATTTTCTAGACATTTCTCCTCAACGTTTTACACTCGTTATTTATCAAATGGAGATAAGTATGATAGGGAATGGCTGGTGTATTCCAAGCATTTGGATAAGGTGTTTTGCTTTTGTTGCAAGTTTTTTAATAAGAGCCCAAAAATAAACTCTTTAGCTAATGAGGGGTTTAATGATTGGGTACACCTTAGTGTGAGACTTAAAGAACACGAAACAAGTGGTGAGCACATGATTAACATGAACACTTGGATTGATTTGCAAATGAGATTGCAAAAAAATGTTACAATTGATAAACATGTTCAACAGCTTATTAATAAAGAGAAAGAACATTGGAAGGGTGTATTAATAAGAATAATAGCTGCTGTAACATACATTGGCAAGTATAACTTGGCATTTCGTGGAAAGAATGAGAGGATTCATGAAGATAGCAATGGAAATTTTTTGGGCTTAATTGAAATGATAGCGAAATGGGATCCAATCATGAAAGAACACTTGAGACGGATTGATGAAAAGGAAATTTATCATCATTATCTTAGTCCAAGGATCCAAAATGAGCTGATTGCAAGGTTAGCACATGAAATCAGAAGTGCAATCATTCAAAAAATTAAAAAAGCAAAGTATTTTTCTGTTATTCTTGACTGTACACCTGATATAAGTCATCAAGAACAAATGACCTTGATATTGAGATGTGTGGATGTTTCTACACATCCAATAAAAGTAGAAGAATTCTTTTTGGAATTCTTACAAGTTGATGATACATCAGGAGAAGGACTCTTTGAAGAATTACAAAATGTGTTAAAAGATCTAAAACTTAATATTGATCATGTGAGAAGACAAGGATATGATAATGGATCCAATATGAAAGGGAAAAACCAAGGTGTACAAAGAAGACTATTAGATATAAATCCTAGAGCTTTGTACACACCATGTGCTTGTCATTGTCTTAACTTGACACTTTGTGATATTGCAGACTCTTGTAGGAAAGCACAGGATTTTTTTGGTGTGATACAATGTATTTATACCTTGTTTTCTCATTCCACAAAGCGCTGGAAAATTTTAAAAGATAATGTAAAGGGTTTAACTCTTAAACCATTGTCAACCACACGGTGGGAGAGTCGAGTTGAAAGTGTTAAAGCTATACGATTTCAAGTTGTAGAAGTGAGAGATGCTTTACTCCAATTAGCTGAACAAGATAATGATTCTAAAATTAGGACTCAAGCTAATCATTTAGCAAAACTTGGACTTGGAAACTTTGAGTTTTTATTAGCTGTGATTATTTGGTATGATATTTTGCATGCTGTCAATTTAGTTAGTAAAAAATTGCAAGAAAAAGACATGCTTATTGATGTTGCTATAGATCAAATAAAAGGATTGATTGTTTTTTTTGAAAAGTATAGAGAATTTGGATTTTCTCAAGCCATGTTTGTTGCTAAAAAAATTGCTACTAACATGGAGATTGATCCAAAGTTTGTGGAAAAATGTCAAGTTCATAGAAAGAGGCATTTTGATGAGAATCTTAATGATGAGTCTACACAATCAAATCATGAATCAGCTGAAGACAGTTTCAGAATTGATTACTTCTTATATATTGTAGATGAAGCAATTGGTTCTTTGAAAAGAAGGTTTGAACAATACCAAACATTTGAGGATATATTTGGTTTCTTATTTACTTTAAATAAGTTTTTTAAAGTAAAAGAGCCAACAAATTTAGAATCATGTTGTGATCATTTGGAAAGTTTTTTAAAACATGGCATGTCTTCTGATCTTGATGGGAAAGATTTATTTGAAGAGTTAAAAATCATACGAGAGATTCTACCAAAAGAGCCAAAAACAGCCACTGAAATTTTGAGTTCTTTAACAAGACTAAACTGTTTTCCAAATGCAATTACTGCTTATAGAATATTATTAACCTTGCCTGTTACAGTTGCATCTGCTGAGAGAAGTTTTTCAAAATTGAAGTTATTGAAATCTTACTTGCGGTCAACCATGTCACAAGAAAGATTAAATGGTTTAACTTTGATATTTTTTTGAAAGTGATTTCTTGGAAGAACTTGATTGTACTCGTTTTATTAATGATTTTGCAGCTCAAAATGCAAGGAGGACAGTTTTTAGATGATTCTGTAGCTGGTTTGGTTGCTGGTTGATGATTGTACTTGCTTGGGTTCTTGAGTGTTGCTGGTTTGGAAGTATTTTGCTTCATTTTGCTGGGTGTAGTTTTTTTGTATGTAAAAGAAAATTGAATAGATGTGAGTGTGTGAAAATAGATGAAGGATGATCTTGATTCTATTTGTCTAATGTAATTGATGCCACATAATGATTTCGGTTTAATATATTTATGATTTATGAATTTTTAAATTTGAAAAATTGTTATTTTACTTATACATATAGGGCCTCATCAGCTTTCTTCGCACAGGGCCTCCATATCTAATGGACCGGCTCTGTGATATACTATAACGTGGTCTTAAGCATTGACATTAATTTCAGTCCAGCCCTAACCATCCTGTGGAGGAAACTAGTTTTCCATAATTACGTGGGACAGTTGCCCTACTAAGATTACTAGTCTCAGTCTCATTATTGTAACATTCATTACACATGGGAAATCAAAAACACTAATAAATATAAAGTGACTACATTTGGTTACACATTCGATAAAATAAACTAATTTTTTAATTAACACGACATATACACATCATTTGTCGTATTATGTGATACACAAATACGATTAAAAAAATGTGATCTTTCTTGCATTTTTCAATCCGAAAAAGTAAAAACCTAAACACTGGACAAGGCTGCCAAAAGGGAAAATGTCATATCCAATTTGTCTCACCTTCCAAACGTGGCGTAGGGACGTTGGAAGTGTACGGTATGGTATGAGGAGGTGAATTATGAATACGAAACCGAAGTAAATAACAAAGTAGAAAGAAAGAAAAAAAAAAAGCAAAGGGGTCTTGCTATATAAAGTATATAAAAGCACTTCCATTCAGTCACTAAGTTCTGCTTGATCTGAATTCTTCTGAAGGCTGTCCAAAGGTTTCAAGCCTATATCGATCCTTGTGATCAATGGGTTCAACGAAACCTTATTTGGCAGTAATTTTCATACAGATAATATATGCAGGCATGATCTTGCTCTCTAAAGCTGCTTTCAATCGTGGTATGAACAGCTACGTGTTCGTCTTCTACAGACAAATGGCAGGAGCTCTGTTCATGTCCCCTCTTGCCATGATCTTTGAAAGGTAATTAAAAACTTCGCTTCTTCTTTTCCTTCTTATGATCACAATCACAAATCTACAGTTCGTTATTGGTTTTTGGTTTTGGTTGGGATATATTCCAGGAAAAGTGCAACGCCTCTTTCTGTTGTGACCTTCTGCAAGATTTTTATGCTGTCTTTTCTGGGGTAAGTAGGGTTGTAATCTTTTTTCTAATAATTATTAAGTTCATAAATATTTGTTCATTGCTCTTGCAAAAAAAACAAAAAGAAATAAATGGTTTTTGATTATTTCAGGATCACTTTGGCCATAAATGCTTATTGCATTGCCCTTACCTACACATCAGCGGCTTTGGGTGCGGCATCCATTAACTGTCTACCTGTTGGAACATTTTTCTTTGCAGTTTTGCTCAGGTACTTGCTTAATTTGCTCTCTCTCTCTCTCTCTCTCTCTCTCTCTCTCTCTCTCTCTCTCTCTCTCTCTTCATCTTCTGTTTCTATATAAATTGAAATTGATTCACAAAAGGAGATTTTTAGAAGGAAGGGGATACCAGAGATTATATTTGTCCACCATTTTCTCTTTTTCTTCTTCCATAAGGCATCATCAGCAGCGGTCCAAACAAGTTAAAGCTCACATATATATTTATTTATTATTTTTTTTTTTTAATGACTTTTTTTCACCAACGAAACCAAAACTACTTCATTAGCAGCACTGGTACTTGAAGGTATTAATAATTTCAATTTTATTATTAAAATGCAGGATGGAGAAAGTGAAGATAAAGACAGCAGCTGGGATTGCAAAGGTTGCAGGCCTGGTAGTGTGCATGACAGGTGTGGCAGTCCTTTGTTTTTACAAGGGACCCCAGTTGAAGCCTTTTTTACATCATCACCTCTTGGAGTCTCATTACAGCCATCAAGGCCAACAACAAGCTCATGATTCTTCTTCTGGGCACAGATGGATAATTGGTTGTTTCCTCCTGCTTGTTTCTATTATTTGTTGGAGCTTGTGGCTTGTACTTCAGGTACTAACCAGTCTTCTCTGTCCTATACCCTTAATTAATTTAGTTTCCTCTCTTTTCATATTTTTTAGCTTTTTTTTATTTTTATTTTTTTATATCGGAGGAAAGAAACCCCACAGGGTGCCATGGGGGAGGGGGATCCACCACCACTGTGGAGGGAATCCATTGACAATTTTTTTTTGTTTTTATTTTATTTTTGCTAAATTTAGGAAGAGAGAGGGGGATTTTTATTGCACACACTGCCAAAGTGCCATATAGGTTCGAATCTGAAACCACTAATCTGCAAATTAAGGCTTTTTCCACAAGTCTAGACCCCATATATTTTTTGAGTTTTTTGGGTAATAGACGAGCTTAGTTTTAAAACTTAAATGCATGCTGATGGTGGTTTAATTTAGTGTGTTTTATTGGCTTGGCTGAACAGGCTCAACTTCTTGTAAAGTACCCTGCAAAGCTACGCTTCACAAGTCTACAATGCCTGTCAAGTGCAGCACAGTCATTTGTTGTTGCGATCGCTTTGGAAAGAGATCCTAGTCAATGGAATCTGGGCTGGAACATTAATTTACTTGCAATTGCTTATTGTGTAAGCAGATTTTAAGCCTTTTTCTCTGCAACCTTTCCTTCTTTAACTTTGTCCTGGCAGCAGAGAAAACAAAAAAATAAAAACAAAAACAAAAACCCGACATGATTAAGATCATTGCCAAAGAAGTAGGTTATTCTAGAATTTTAGTCTTGGCAAAAGGGTTCAATAAAGAACTTTGTAAAGCTTGTTGCATAAGTAAGATTCAAGTTGGAGAAATTGGGGTTTAAATTATCAGGTTTAGGTGGGTCCATTTAGTGACTAAATTTTTCTTTTTTGGTTTAAATTTTCACGTTTCATTTCTTTTAGTTAAAATTTGACTTGTGCGGTAACAATCAGGGCATCATGGTGACCGGCGTTTCATACTACTTGCAAGCATATGTGATTGAGAAGAAGGGGCCAGTTTTCCAAGCCATGTCACAGCCATTAAATCTCATCATCACAGTTATTGGCTCGGTGTTGCTCTTAGGGGAGGTCATCAGTTTGGGAAGGTAAATGAATTCTTTTCATATATATATTTTTTTGGTAAATACCACGAGGTGTCCCCACACCCGAAGGGTGAGATTAATCCCCGCTCGGAGTTCGGCTTGCTCCTGGCCACAAAGTGCTTCCAACGGGTTTTGAACCCCTGCTATTGAGGCACTAGGTAGCTTGCCAACTGGAGATGACAGTTTCGCACCACACCTTATGGTTTTTTCTTTTCATATTTTATATACAAAGAGAGAAGTCATAAACCCTGAAATATTCAAAAACCCCTGAGAATGTCCATGTTGAACAAAAATATTTTTAATTCTTTTTAATTTTCTTTCTAATTTTTAATTCTTTGTATCTTTTTATATATCTATATATTTAACAAAACAGGCTAGTATTTTATTAATTTCCCAAATTATATATATACGGTCCCCTTCTATTGAGGGATCCCTCGAATAATTTTATTTGAGGGACACCCTTTAGGGTCGCCTACAAATTTATTTTCAACAATCCAAACCATCTATTTTTTAAAATTATTTTAGTTAACGAAAAAGAAAAGAAAAGAAGTTCATATTCTTTGGAAAATAACGTCACTTTATAAAGTGAATAATTATTCAATGTAGACGTTTTGTTTGCATTCGGATGATGATGGGTAGATCGATTGTCCTAATCATTTCATGTGGCTCTCCTTTTTGCAGTGTTTTAGGTGGAATCCTGTTGGCTGCGAGCCTTTACAGTGTTTTGTGGGGAAAAAGCAAAGAGCAGAAGAGCATGGAAAATGGTACTTGCTTATCAGTTCCAGTTCAACCTGAAAAGGAACGTGCGCACCTGAAAGAGGCAGAGGCCACCATCGCTGAACCAACCTTGTTTGTTTAACATATATAATCTAGTTTAGTTCACTTCTTAAATTAAGATGCAATCCAGCTCTTGTAGATGTCGTATGGTTGCCAATCCCAGTTAACTAATGGGGATTATGGTGGTTGTGTTTTCTAAAATATTACTGCTATTTATGTTATAACTTGTAAGACTAGTCTCTTCCGGACATCTGAAAAAATTCAAAAAATACAGAGTAGATTATATATAGCATGGCCCTGCGCATTGATGACACACATAAATCGAGATATGATCCAAATTTAAAACAAACAAAACGACTATTGTATAAGACTAAAGTAAAAGTAGAGAGATAAACACAATAAAATATAGACTGCTCAATTATTATCACTCTCTAACTTTGTTCAAGATACGTGAACGGTTCAGCTCCAATGTTGACGGTGAGTGCAATACATTTACGGTGTAACTTCACTGGTTCATACAAGCGATATTAAGGGAGAAGATTTGGACAAAAAGTATCAGGTTCAATAATAAATATTTGAACTACAACTCCTCTGTAAAATTCTCCACATTATGTCCTTCTATTTATGTATTACACGACACTCAGAGAGTTCGATAAGTCCCCTTGGACATGTCCCTTAAAAAAGAAAAAACTCCCCTTTGATGTCACCAAAAGAAAACTACCCCTTGGGTGATCCTAAATCAAATTCAATCAAACAATAGTTCTAGCTAGTCATCTAAATCAAATCAATCTAGAGTCCATAACAAATTTGAAGCCCTAAATACCTAACCAGCATTTAATACACCTTCAATTTATTCACTATTATAAAGTAAATTCAACTGAGAAATTGGGTTAACTGCGCTTGCAGGTAAATCTTTATAGTCGTTGCAATAAATGACTTGTTTTTGAAGTTTTCCTCCAATTTCATTATCATATGTGTGTCGCATTCCCAGTACTGATAAATTATAAGTCGTCAGTCCTATTCGCAATGTTATGAATTTATAACAT